ATGCAACCATAAAGTCTATAAATCGAGATATACCCTGTTTCCCCGAAAATAAGACCTAGTACTATTTTTGGGAATTGCTAAAATATAAGATCTACCCCAAAAATAAGACCTAGTTGTGACCATTCCCAGGGCTGGTGGTGGCATGAGGGGGAACCTGAAGAGCCGCGGGAGAGAATCAGCGGTGCCAAACCGATGCCTCCTCTATATCGCCGCCTCCTGTCACAGGCGGATTGATACCAAATGCACTCCGCCTGTGAGGAATCGATAGTGAAAGCGCGCTTCGCTCATTCTGGCCAGCGGTTGGTTAGCAAATTGCTCTTGGAAAGGTACGGCACCCCTGATTGCCCTGATCATCATATTTTTCTACATGAATAAGTGCAGATTGTTGTACATTAAAAAAAAATGAAATGAGACACGGTACATGACATGCGTGGTCTCAGGGGGGCTGTATAATAATAATAATATATTCAGCATTGCTGTATGATAATACAACAATGTCGAATGGCAACCGGCTATAGAGGACTACGAATCCCAGGAATACAATATACAGCAATGCCGAATGGCAATCGGTCTCAGGAGGGCTGTGATGTGTGGGGGTCTCGGGAGGGATGTGTGGGGGTCTCAGGAGGGATGTGTGGGGGTCTCAGGAGGGCTGTGGGGGGGTTTCAAGAGCAATGTAGGGGTCCCAGGTGGGCTGTGGAGGGTCTGCAGGAGGCCCAGTATCAACACTGATACTGGTATTGGTCCATCCCTAATACAGGGAAGTAAAAGGCTAATGCCAGGTCACGTACTTACACTGCTTCCCTTTAAAAAATGTGATTTTTGTACATACCGTGTTTTCCCGAAAGTAAGACCTACACTGAAAATAAGACCTAGCGCTATCTTTGGGGATTTGTGTAATATAAGACCTACCCCGAAAATAAGACCTAGTTCGGTGGAAGGTCTTATATTACAGACATCCCTGAAGATAGCGCTAGATTTTACCTTCGGGGTAGCTGCACATGTAATTAAATTTTACATGTGAAGACCGTCCGCAGCTCCCTCCCGCCCCCTCACCCACCTGTCTGTTGCTCTCTGGATGGCATCAGAGCAGAGAGGCAGCTCCCTCCCCCCTGCCAGACACGCCCCTCCCGCACGCATGGCCGCCCCCTCGCCCGCCCACCTGTCTGTTTCTACCTGGATTGCATCAGAGCGGAGAGGCAGCTCCCTCCCGCCCCCCTGCCAGGCACGCCCGCACGCATGCCCGCCCACCTGTTTGTGACTCCCTGGACGGCAGAGCGGACAGCTGCAGCCAGGTAAGACATCCCCCGAAAATAAGACCTAGTGTCTTTTTTCGTGAAAAAAATAAAATAAGACACGGTCTTATTTTCGGGGAAACACGGTACCATAAAGTTAATTTCTTGGGAGTTTATTGAGAGACATAGGAATTCAGAAACAGTCAGATTATACTGCCACCCACAGGAGTTTTGGACACTGGCTAGCAGAAAGATTGTAAGCCAGACCCCAGCATAACCCCTCCTCTACCCAGCATGTCTCAGTTTTGTGGCAAAGCAGTACTAACGGCATCAACAAAAACATAAGGAATGGAATCTAGGTCCCTCAATCGACCCCAAGAAAAGGATTTTACTGTGAGTATAAAAATTCCATTTTCTTTTTCATTCATTGAGGGGCACTGGAATTCATATAAAGATGGGGCATCCAAAAACAATTCAACCGAGAGGTGGGCAAAATAGCAAAAACCACTAACAGGCCTGACTTTGAATGGATGAGGTGGGGCCCCCTTACCAGATAGAGAAACCTGCCAACATGACCACACGGAGAATCAACCTGATGCTTCATACCAGGATGGAGAAGGTCACAGCCAGAGGGGGAAGGGAACACCGAATTTGAGCCAGCTAGAAGCTGATCAATCAGAAGCAACCGAAAACAAATTCCCAGACGGAATAAAGAACCCACGACCTGATGCGATCAATAGAAAAAATTATGGAGACAACCCAGAGAAGAAACAGGTCCCGAGAGGGAACTTATTGCAAAAAGATACGTACAGGCAAGGAAGACCAGCTGATTGAAAGGGACAGAGGCATTACACCCCTAACCCTCAGGATCAAGGGGATATAAAATCCGTGACAAAGGTGGTTACGTAGCCAGACAATCAGTCTTACTAAGTGAGGCACAGCATAGAATGTACAGTATTAGTACAACCCAATAGCCCACAAGGGGCGAGAAGTAACTCCTGAGACCACTAGCGTGGTCAACATGATAGAAGGGACAAAAGAGGGACCCCCACAAAGGTAGGCAGGAATTAGGGGTTAGTCCTCAGCCCAAGACTGATAGGATGGGAGCCACCAGAAGACACTGAGGATAAAACTAAAACATCTTCTCTGACACCCTGCGTGATTGTTGGGGCCTGCAAAAGAATGTTATGGAGCCTGGCTAACCTAACAGTAAAGCATCAATAGCCATGGAACAAGGAACGGGAATCTCAGCAGAAAAATATCCAGAGGGGTACAGTGCCGTCCAGTGATGATCTCTGCCCAAGTAGTAACTGAGGTGCCCTCAGATGCGCAAAACTCTCCTCTCCTTTCTATTCAGTCATTAGTCTCAGGGATGGAGGTACTCCAGCAAGGCTGAAGATTTAGGGCAGGGACTATGTGGGTCTATAGAGACAGGTCCATAGACCTGTCCAGAACGCAGGCCTGTGACAACACAGAAGAGGGCTTAATGGGTTCAAGAAAAAATAGGAGAGGGGGAGCCCGGCCACTCTGATGGAGAAGGGAGAGGTTCTTGCACTGCCCTACACCCCCTCAATAAAGAAGGGGTGAACTTCCTGACAAGGAAGATAAGTCTACAAGGGGAGTGGACCTTTTTAGCTAGGGCTCAGAGAGCACCACCTCACAAATTGGTGATAGGTAGCTGCCAGAGCTAGAACTCGGCAAAGCCTGATCCAGCCAGAACTTGCAGAAGTTACGCCTTTTCAAGAAGATGCTCACAGGTGCTTTCATGCCTTAAAGACACCAGGGGGAAGGGATTACCCTGTGGACTTCTGCCCCGAATGCTTAGGAGGCAAATTAACCAAGGTCCTGCATTTAGCCCCCACTTGTAGAAGGAAGTGGGGGTGCACCTCATGTAGAAGACTGTTGGAAGGGGTTGTGGACCATGAGCTTAGGTGCTTGTAAGAAGCCATCACAACAGAAGCATAAGGCTCCAGACATTTGCTCCACACATTCCCAGAAATGGGGATCTACGCCGATGGAGAAGAGTTCCCTTTGAATGGCGCCCAATGGCTCATATAGTAAGCTAGCTCCTGGTGCTTTATCTCAAAGAGCCTTCTTCAATGATAGGGTTATGCTCTGGGGATATGCCATGGCTCTGGACCTGGAAGGCGCTCTGTGGCTTTTAGCAGTAAAATTAGGTTTGGAAAGCACCACAATGCAGAGCTCAGTGTTCAACGGTCACATTTTATACACCAGCCGGGTCCGGGGTAAAGCACTCCAAAGGCAAGCTGAGCAGAGTCTCAAATATTTCACTCTGCCCTCCTATCTCTTCCCTTCCTTATCGCTCTCCTCCTCATCTCTTCCTCCTTCTCACACCCCTCCCCCTCTTATCTCTTCCACCTTCTCACTCTACTCCTCATCTATTCTTCCTTCATCTCTTATTTCTTCTTGCTCTCCCCCTCATCGCTACCTCCTTCATCTCATTCTCCCCCTTATCTCTACTTCCTTCTCACTCTACCCTTCATCTCTTCCTTCTCATTCTCCCCCTCATCTCTACCTCCGTCTCACTCTACCCTTCATCTCTTCCTTCTTCTCATTCACCCCTCATCTCTTCCTTCTAATTCTTCCCCTCATCTCTACTTCCCTTTCACTCTACCCTTCATCTCTTCCTTCTTCTCAATCCCCCCCTCATCTCTACCTCCTTCTCACTCTACCCTTCATCTCTTCCTTCTCATTCTCCCCCTCATCTCTACCTCCTCACTCTACCCTTTATCTCTTCCTCAACAACTCTTTCAACTCCCCTTTTTTATGCAAGAAAAACTACAGTATTGCACTGGACGTCCACTGAGGTACTACACATAAGCACACGGAAGAGGCTGGGTGATAAGGTCCCCCACCTCTACGGAATAACTTATAAAGCCGGAGACTGTCCTACTAAATTTGAAAAATTTGGGGAACTTGGGTGTTATGTCCACACTTTAGTTGACACCAGCCCTCTACTCAATACTTTTACTGTGAATACTCAACCCCTGATGGATCTGCATAAACCTGATGCACCTGAGTTTGTGGATCAGGGCAAAGAAGAAAAATGACACTGACAATGCTGAAATTTAATACATTTTTATTGGCGATACTGCGTAAAATTTTTAGTTGATCGTAGTTTATATTTATGTTTTTTTTCTTTATAATAAAAATATGAATCATGTACTTGGCAGCCATACTTTTCCAGGTTTATTGCTGTTCTACCTACAGCGCCTTATCTTGACCTGTATTTGTGTATTTCCATTAAGTTGATTAAATTTACTATAAAAATGGGGCGGAGCCTGGTTAATCACAAGCCAAGCTGCCTCCAACCAATACGTCAGAGCGGGCACAACGCACGATGAAGAAAAGGCTGTGCTTGCTGGGTATTGAATACATCGGGGGAGGGGGGGAGAGACAACAAAGAATAGGTAAAGATGTTTCCTTATTTGTATCCAGAAAGGAATTCACAAAACACATAATTTATCACCACAAGAGTTCTACAAGTTTATGTAAAAAAATTCAGAATTTAAATCCAAAGATTATGCTGCGTGGCAGCTGTCCAAGTTCTCAAGTAGCAGGCCTTTAATCTTCCAATATTTATTATACGTCATCAGGTTCCATTTACTTTTAGTATGTAGATGGTACAAGAAGTTTCCTTAGCGGCACTGGAAATGTAAAAATCTGAATCTCGCAGGACCTGGGGGTTCTATAGAAGGAGACTTGGGCCTGTACCCTAATTCAGCCACAGCAACATTTTGTCACCTGTGAGAATTCCGATGTGTGCCAAGAGAGGATTTCTGTGAAAACCGCTTTCCACATTCCGAACATGAATACGGTTTGACTCCGGTATGGATTCGAGTATGAGTAGCCAGGTTTGATTTCTTGGCAAAACTTTTCCCACAATCGGAACAGGAATACGGGAGATTTCCTGTGTGAATGATCTGATGCGTGGCAAGGTTCGCCCTGTCGGTAAAGCATTTCCCACATTCTGAACAAGAATAGGGCTTCTCCCCCGTGTGCACTCTTTCATGTGTGATGAGAGACGATTTCCGGGAAAAGGATTTCCCGCATTCCGAACATAAATACGGCTTCTCCCCTGTGTGAACTCTTTTGTGTATGATGAGAGAGGATTTCCAGGAAAAGCATTCACCACATTCAGAACAAGAAAACTGCTTCTCACCTGTGTGAGTAGCCTGATGTCTAGCCAGATACGACTTTTCTGAAAAACTTTTCCCGCACTCAGGACATGAATAAAGCTTTTCCCCAGTGTGAACTTTTTCATGTTTGATGAGACAAGATTTCCGAAAAAAACACTTCCCGCATTCCGAACATGAATATGGCTTCTCCCCAGTGTGAACTCTCCTGTGGGCAAGAAGAGACGACTTCTGAAGAAAACTTTTTCCACACTCTATACACGTGAATGCCATTTGCCCTGTGTGAGCCTTCTTGTGTCTTAAAAGAGACGATTTCCGGGAAAACCCTTCACCGCATTCAGGACAGGAAAATGGTTTCTCCCTGGTGTGAATGGTCTGGTGCGTAACAAGGTGTGACCTTTCAGCAAAGGACTTCCCGCAGTCTGAACACGAATAAGGCTTCTCTCCAGTGTGATTTCTCTGATGCGAGTTAAGATGGGATCTTTGGGAAAAACATTTCCCGCATTCTGAACACGAATATGGCTTCACTCCCGTGTGACGTCGAGTGTGAGCAACAAGATTCGATTTGCTGGTAAAACATTTCCCACACTCAAAACAGGAATACTGGCGGTCGCCAGTGTGAATTATTTGATGTGCGGACAGATTTGATCTTTCCGTAAAACATTTGCCACATTCCGAACATGAATGCGGCTTCTCCCCTGTGTGCACTTTTTCATGTCTTGTTAGGGACGATTTCCGGGAAAAACACTCATTGCATTCGGGACAGGAAAATGGCTTAAGCCCCGTGTGAGTGGTCTGGTGGATCGTAAGGTGGTACCTTTCAACAAAACACTTTCCGCATTCCGAACACGAATATGGCTTCTCCCCCGTGTGAGTCATGTGATGTGAGATGAGCCGTCCTCTCTGGGTAAAGCTTTTCCCGCACTCCGAACAGGTAAACGGCTTCTCTCCTGTGTGAGTCCTGTGGTGCATAATCAGTAAGTATTTGGATGAGAATGACTTCCCGCAGTCGGAGCATGAATACGGCTTGAGGCCTGTGTGAGTTCCTTGATGTAAAATAAGATTGGCTCTCTGTCTAAAACACATCCCGCATTCAGGACACGTATGCGGCTTCTCCCCTTTGTGAATCTTTTCGTGGGTAATGAGATTCGACTTCTGGGAAAATAATTTCCCGCATTCCAAACACGAATACGGCTTCTCTCCGGTGTGAGTCCTCTGGTGTTCAATAAGCCTGGCCCTACAGCTGAAACATTTCCCGCATTCCGAACACGAAAATGGCTTCTCGGCCGAGTGGGTCAGCTGGTGTCTTAACAACCGTTGCTGCTGAGAAAAAGATTTGCCGCATTCGAAACATGAATACGGCTCCCCCTCTTCGCGAGTTATCTGATGTGAGGAGAGGTCTGACTTCGGGGGAAAACCTTCGCCACACGCAGGAGGCGGGGTCGTTTCTTCCGTTTTACAACTATCATGGGTGACGTGGGCGGAGAGATCTGCAAAATGTCCCCCGTGTGATCCGGGAGACGTCCCCCGTCCTCCCGTATTGCGAGGAACCGGATGCAGAGTGGAGGAAGCCATGTTTTCTTCTGAAGAGTTGGACGTGATGTCCTCCTCCATTTCCCCATTTGAAGAGATGGGAAGATATTTGGCGGGATCATCTCTGTTGTGTTGTCCAGCTGGAGAGGGAAACAAAACATTAACAGGGTATAAGAACATCCAAGACTGCCAATCACCAATCCCTATTATATCCCTAAAAGTAGGGATGTCCCGATACCACTTTTTTATGTACTTGCCGATACCAACTACCGATACTTTTTCTTAAAGGGACAGGTGACTTTTTTTTCTAAAACAACACAAACTGATGATTTTAGGGCAGTTTCTCACCAGGGCTAAATACGGATGTCCCAGGAACGGAACACATGTCCCCAAAGCCGAACACATGTCGTCACAGCAGAACACATGTCCGTAAGGCAGGATAGTATTCTGCTTTGGGGACATGTATTCTGCTTTTGGAACATATGTTCTGCGAATACATGTCCCCAAAGCAGAATTCCTCTCACCAGGCTGCGTGTCGATCTCACCCGGGCGATGTGGACATCTGCAGTGGCTCTGCGGGCACTTCACCTCACTGGCAATGTCGGGACCCGACCTCCCCCACGTCCAGTCCAGCCGACTCTCTGCGCTGCTGGGCTCTGCTTTGTCCATCTCCCCGTCATTGTGTGGCAGAAACCCCAGCTTCTAGCCCCGGGGGAGATAGTTCTGTCCCCGGGGCTGTCCATGGCTGTGCCTGTGCCGGGAAGGAGGAGATATAGAACCGGACAGGCACTGCCATGGACAGCTATCTGCAGGTCCCTAGCAGGCTGCCGAGGTCCCCACAAGCGCGGGAGCTCGGGCAGCTGCTATTTGAAGATTTAAAGGGCCGGCATCAGCCTTAAGAATCGGGGCATTTTCACAAGTACAAGTACTCGTGAAAATGCATAGTATCGGGACATCCCCATTTAAAAGGAATCTATTGGTTGGTGTTCTCCTTATGATGTCCATGTCTGGGATGTTTTTTGACGTGGGATATGTTCTGGACTTATGGCCAACACCTTGACTACATAATGTCCATAACAAATTCATTTTTATATTGGTGGATCGGCCTTAAAGTGGAATAATGGCTACAACTTTTTGATTTTTAGATAGAGTGGGAAGGACATAGAACATCGGTACTTACTTCCTGCTTCTATGACACGTAGGGTTGAAATTGCCATCGTAGGAAATCTCAGTGATTGGATCTATG